ATATATATATATATATATAGACATAGATACAGATATTCTAAACTTTATGAAAAACACAGTTCTGGAAAATGTTGCTTTGCTGCTGTGGGGTCTGTAACCAGGAGAAAGCACAACATTATATACAATCCTAAAAGAACACAGCTACTTGAATAATCCCACCCTCTTCCACAATGGTGCAGATTACTTCATCTGCGATGGTCTTGTAAATGAGTTTAACTCTACAGATAACTATGTTCTTCACAACAAGAGGAATGAAAATGAGAGGAAAACATTACTGTTTGCCAAACAGAAAACAAACAAAAGAGCAGCAGAAGGCTAGTAAGGAAAGAATGGTTAATCTCACATTTCTAAAGGGGTATTATAAACAAAGAATAGTGAACAACAAAAAGAAAATATATTAAAAGAATACAAAAGTGCTTAATGGTGTTCTTTTAAATATTTACTTTGCTGCTATTTGGAGAATAATTTGTTCCATTTAGTAGTGTTGGGCTCAAAGGACCGCTTTAATCCAGAGAGATTAATTATAGCCTTTGGAGTTATAAACACAATTTGGGAAGTGAAGCAGAGAAGAAGAGAGCACTGCCTCTCACACTGGCGATTAACAAGTTTACACGCTTCGGGGCTATACCACACTGGCTGTGCCCCTGCTACACCTGCATGCTACAGGCAGAACAGTGCACAAGATGCCCACAAACTGGGGAAAAACAGCCCCCAAGATGTCCAGGGGAAGACACTACCCTACCCTACAGCGCTGCTATGGGCAACTAAACTATTTCTCAGCTGCCCTTCACCGAAATACAAATTCACGTGCACCTTATGAAGATCTCCTCTGACATCACTTTTACTACCTGTGCCGGAAACGACAAGTCACCATGCCAAGACAGGCAGCAGCACTCAGCGGGCACAGGACGCCATCCACACTGCCTTTAAACCTCCCACATGCTTTGATACATCTCTGCTCACCACCATGTCCCACAGGAGGAGACACAAAAACCATCAACAGTGAGCAGGCCAAGGCTGGGAGCAATCTTACCTAGCAAGGGGTTGGCTGCTCCCTCCTCCGAGCTCTCCTCGGCCCCTTCCTCCCCGAGGCCAGAGGTGACCGAGTCCTCCGGGGCGGATGCAGATCCGGGGGTGCTGGGCCCACTGACGGACCCCGAGTCCCCTTCCTCGCTGCTCGAGCCATAGCGGTCTGGCTGGGCAGCCGTGCCCCCCTCACCGCAGCTCCTGCGCTCCTTGCGGTGCACCCGGGAGTGCAGCACCATTTGGTGGTAGGTGCGGAAGACCTTGCCGCACTCGAAGCACTCGGTAGACTTGTTCTGGGTGGCCCGCCGGCTCTGCCGCGAGGCAGGGCGGTAGTCCAGGTCCCCCTGGGCGAGCGGGCAGCTCTCCCCCGACGGGGCGCTGCCAGTTTTCTCCAGGCGCCCGCTGGTGCAGCTCTTCTTCTTGGGGTTGCTGGAAGAGCTGGGCGAGTCCTGGTCTCGCTTGCGTTTCTCCTGGTTGACAAGGATATACTCTCTCTTATCCTTGTCGTAAGTCACGTCTGCATCCGCCAGGGCCTCGTCCCATCCCACATACTTCACATACTCCGAGGGCTCTACTACTTTTCCTTTGGTGGCCAGCTGCCAAGCTTGGTAGCTACTGACGGGATCCAGCTCAGCTACCCTTTTCCCAGGCTGTCCTTTTGTAACTCTATCCAGCCCTACAGATGGCCGTAGATTGAGACACTGCAAGAAAAACTGCTTCGTTACCGAGGAGCTTAGGCTCCCATCAATTAAGTCCTCAGCTTTATCCCCAGTGCTGCCCCTCTGTGCTCGGTAGTGAACAGCATTATGCGCTTTCAGGCTTTCCATATTTGTAAACAGATTTCCACACTTGGTGCAAACTTCATACAGAGATAGGCCTGTCACGATCGTCTCTTCCTGTATCACGTTATTGATAGTGGCTATGAGCTCCAAATCATTTTTTGGTTTGTTTTTGCTCCCAGTCTTGGGGCCGTGTGACTTCATATGGTTTTTGAGAAACCAGGGCTCTTTGAATCTCCTGCCACAAATGTGGCACCCATGATCAAATGACCCCCTGTGCTTTTTCATGTGAGCTTTCAGGAACCAGGTTTGACTAAAAGCCTGACCGCAGACTTCACACGGAAACTCGCCCGCGCTCAGCTCACTCTTGCAGTTCTCAGTGTAGGCCCCCCCATTTGGGACCTGAGCATGGTCCTTCTCCACATGGCTTAACAGCATGTCCTCTCTCAGGGTCATGTAGCTACACAACCTGCACTTGAACGGTTTATGGACCTGGTGCAGGTGCTGCTCCAGGTCTTTCTTCCTTTCAAATTTGTTTTTGCAGAAGGTGCACTGGAAAGAGGTCAGCTTGCCATCCACCTCGGCTGGAACCGCCTCCATGACCTCCTTCTTGCTGCTTCTCAACAAGATTTTGCTGCTATCAACCTGAGCAGTACCATTCAAGATCCTGTTGCAGGCAGATGTACTTTTAGTGGGGCTGGTGCACCCACCAAGGCCCTCCGAAACACCCATCTCCCCCAGCTGCGCCTCTCCCATCTCCGCCTCATGCCCCTGACTTAAAGTGCCTGTTCTGTGACTGCGGATGTGGATCTTGAGGTTGCCCTTTTGGGAAGCTCTGTGATCACAGTAAGGGCATTTGTAGGGCTTCTCACCCGTGTGCTTCCTCATGTGCTGTGACAAGGAGCTCTGAAAAGGGAAACTTTTACCGCAGATGCAGCAGCTGTGGCACATGGTCTTGTCAGTATCCACGTCATTCTTGCTTAGCTTGCCTGGGCTGGAGGATCTCCGTAGCTCCATTTCTGTCTCTCTTCTACGATCCATCTGTATTACTGCAACATCAGGTGAGCAGGGCAGGAGGACAAAAGCATGTCCGGCAGCAGAGGAGGGCTGGACCGCGTTTTCAATCATACGGTTCTGCAGAGAGATGTTTTACTGCTTCATTCTCTGGATAACTTTTCTCCTTTCAGCTGCTCAACAGAGTCCGAAGCACCGCTTTACTTCTGTGTGCTCTGTAAATGGATGGCATAGATCACCTGAAACAAGAACAAAAATCACACAGATGTACAGAAATCATGTAAGTAGATTCTTAAACCTGTATATTTAGATGTGTTCATGTTTTTAATTCAATGGCTTCCATCATACACCCCAAATTCAAAAGCATACTGTGATACAATTTACTGCATCAAAAAGCAGCAGATTCTCCTTTTGTGGATATTCTAGATTTCAGTGGCAAGCATTATTAACAAACAAGTAAAATCCCAAGAAGACAAACATTCATTTCCATACACTGACATCTGAGTGTCTTTTAAAAAAGCGCAAACTTTCAAAACATTTTTTGTTTCAAAACCAGGCAGAAGTGGCTAAAAATACACCTTAAATGAGGAAAACATTTCTTGAAGGGGTTATTATGCTTTAAATTTGTGGGTTTACCATCATGTGTAATTTCATGTAAAATACTTACTTGCCAAAGATAAAAGGCTTTCCTAGAGTCTTTAGCAAGTATCATATTCCTGATTACTTTGCGTCTCAGACAGCTCTGCTCTGCTTTATGTGGCATGCACAGCGCAGGCGCAGAGGCTGAGGACACTCAGTACTTTGATTAGAGAGAAAACAAGAATCCAGAGCCTGACAAAGCATTCAGGAAAACGAGAAGTTATTTTCTGATGGACAGTGAAGAAAAAAAACAAAACTCTCAAAGTGTAATATTTAGTCTCACTCTAAACAAAGGAAACTTATGATGTGCATAGGTATCAAATGATCTTAAATATGAGCAATTTATGTCAACAACACATACAGGAAACCACAGCACCACCCACCACAATGAAACAGAATCTTAACCATAAACAAACAAACAAACAAAACAAGAAACAGCTTTGATTAACAAAACAGATGTTTAATAAAAGTTTTAAAGCTTTTGTATCTCATCATGACTAAACGCAAGGCCAATATCTGCCTCAGCAAGGCAAGATGCAACACACCAGCAATTCCCCACCTTGTATATGGCGAAAGACAACGGTTAAGATCTCCACAGATAGTTTCTTTTCCAATTACCACACTGTAAAACAAAAATCTTTCCCCTTTCCTATCCTCATTAAGTACTACAAACACCACATGACTAAGATCAAAGAATACTGTATTCTCTAATAAAGAGAACCAATCTATTACTACATTAAGAAAACATCAGCTTCTTAAAATGTAGCTAAAAATTATGCGGAGCAATAACAAGACTATATATTCACACATCCATCAGTTGACATCTGTGACTCAGTAAATAAAGAGCTACAGATCTACAGTTGCACATTTTAAGGTGTCTTACAGTATTCACCTCTGCATCTCTTCAACGTGTAAATAAATAGTCTAACCACATCACTAGCATGAGCCTTACAAAAAGCAAGCTACAAGTGATGCAATGCTCGTATCAGTTTCACACTATAGAATAACTTCATTATGTTTAAGTTAATCTAGTCTCTTATTTGCTACAAGACCATACATTTCTGGGTTTGATTTTCTGCATATACAATATCCATTCAGCATGTTAGGAGTTATAATAGCATCTACCCAAACTACCTTTTCCTCAAGAGAGCTGACAGTAATATCTAAAGGACATGATACAATTGCAATTTCATTCCTTGAATGAAGCATTTTCATATTATGACTAATATATTGTGACTACAAATAAAAATAAAATCCCGAATTCAGAAATCCATAAAAGCAGGAAGTTTACAAACAAGAATGCCTAAATAAGTCTCTGAAATCGGCCATTTAAAAACAAATGGAGTAGCAGCCTCAGAAGAAATTCCCTGGGTATTTAAGGGATGTCAGCCGCTGGAAGTTGTGGCTGTACCAGAAGGTACGAACACGCCAAACAGCAAATACAAATGCAGTTTACACTGCATTACTGAAGTATGAAACAATTCAGAGTAACATCTTATTTATTTGACCTGTAATCTAAACTTGACAAGTAACAACTCATAGAGTCTTATAATCAAAGACTTAATCTAAAACTCCTTAAATCATAAAAAGAAACACCAGGGTAACTTCTTGTATTTAACACGACAGTACAGTATACTTGAACAAGCTACAGCTTCTTTTGTAATGTTCTGTACCACTGCAGAAAAAAAACCAGCAGGCTCTGGGGCAGATTTTTCCAGGTATTTTATACAATCTTTTCTACATTCTCTATTTTCTACAGTTCACACCAGTGAGAACACTGCTTACTGGTAGGCTGACTTTGAGACTAGTGACCTGGGTTTTTTTGTAGGTCCCATTTTAACTCGGCTTTCTACAAGGTTTCCTGTCTGAAAGTTCAAAAGAGCTTTAAGAGCCAAACTTAGACAAGAATGCTGTAATCAGCAGTTCAGGCACACATAAATCCAAAGCTTCAGAGTCCCTTTGTTTACTTGGCCGCAGCTTCCCTGTGCTTAGCCTTGACATATTTCACTTTAATTATTTATAGCATTTTCATTAATGAAACTTAGTTATGAAAATGAGGATATGAAGAAAGCATTATTTATAAGAGGGGTATTAGCCACTCACAGGAGATTCCCCTCAGCCCTATATTACATTAGGCCTGAGGCGGGGAAAAGTCACAGTTAAAAAATTGTCAAATTATTTTATTAGTCTAAAATACTTAATGGAAGTGTTACCGTCTTCACAAAAATATTCCAAGATAATTGTTTCATCTTCATTACTTTAGCTTGGCCAATGCACTGCAATTTGTAACTTGAAAAGTTGAAATAAAGTATTCCTAGATTTGAATTATTTAAGACTCAAAAAAATTCCAGCCTGTTCCTCCACAGACAGAAATTCCAGGGGAAGTAAGGGTGTTCACCCAAACCCAGTTTGTGTTACACAGCATGGAGAGGTCTCCCTTAGGCTTTGGCAAATTGACTGAGATAAACATATATGAACAACTTATAACTCCCTCCCCACATCATTTGAGCGCCACTTAAAAGTAATGCTTTTAGAGAGGCTCTTTGAAAACAGCAAAGCCAGTGTTCCTTGGAAAGAAGCAGCAAGAAAGAAAAAACAACTCTGAAGAAAGCTTGAATTCCAAAGACTGAATGTACAAAATGAGGAAAACATCACTTGCAAAATCCTTCCCATAGAAAATAACATTCTGGCTTAATAATTTCCACTTTAGTATTAATTACTAAACAAAGATGGCACAAGGGATGGAAGACATCAACTTCTAAATCAAGCTACACTGATTGCTCTTCTGCTGTGAGTAAAATTTTGCCATAGCTATTTTTGTTTCTTCCTAGCCAACTATGATGATAAAAATATTTGTATTTTGAAATAATTATGAACTTGAAAGTATTCTGAAATAATTCTCTTTCAGCACAGACAGAATGTGGCCATGTCCAGTTACCCTAAGGCTACTACACAAACATTTCAATTCCCACTCATTTCAGGTGGTAGATGGTAACTTTTCATTGCTCTGGTTCAAGTTCACCCTGCAGTTCCTTAGCACCATCCTGTCACACAGAATCCATAGCAGAGTCACATCCAGCCTGCAGTTTTCTCCTGGACTGTCACAGCACGGTGATCCCCATTAGCACAGGGACAAACCATAAGGAAATGCAAGTGAATGTAATCTGTAAATTAATATGTAGTCTTTAAAAAGTATTTTGTGTGTTTTAATGGCATTGGAGCCATTAAAACACACTAACGTGTGTATGCCAAATGCCATACAACTCCATGAGAGTGTCTGATACTCTGCTGTAAGAAGCATATCAACTAGATTCACTTTGATTTGTTGAACTAGGATTCAGCAGTTCACATAAGAAGATCCTGGCCAGTATCCAGGGCATTTCCAGCCCCTATTAAATACACTGAGGCACTTAACACCACTACTGTTGACACGCACATTTGGTATATAAAGCAAGGTGGAAGAGAAACATGTATAAAGACCCAAAACCAGGAGAGGTAGCATGATGAGAAATGCCTTTGCTCGGCCAAATATTTCAGTTATAAGACTTGTTTCTGCACCCTCTGCTGCACAGACAGCTTAACCCACATGGGGAGAAATACAAATAAACTTTCTTAATCCCCTCACCAGAAGGGAAAACAAGCTTTCCTACTAGCTTAAATGAAAATTGGTTGGAATTGACTGTATTTCAAATACTTTGACACCAAAACTTCTCTGGCTTTAAAAATTAACTCAGACACAGTTCTTGGGTGAGAGAAAATACATTTGGCGGCCAAAAGGTCCTGCTGTCACCACAGACACCCAGGGCCTTTCCCAGCACTAGCCACGGCTTCCCCAGCAAGGCCATGGTAGCATGTCCCTGCTGGCAGAGCTGCAGGTACACTGGTGCATGGCTGCATCATCCTCGCAACTTCTGCAAGTCCCGAGTAATAGCACTTCAAATAAAACAGGAGCACGCTGAAATACCTAGGACTCTTTTCTTCATATGACCTATGTGTTCTGGAAAAGGACCAGCTATGCTGTGAGGACTCCCTCCAGGGCAAGACAGGCCTTTTATGTCTCTTGGAAAACAATTAATAAGAGAAGAAACTGAAAATAAACAACACTAGACAGCTGAAAAATAGAATGCTAGACATACCATATTGAAGAACTAACTGAAAATACATTTCCTACATACAGATCTCCTGTGCAGCGCAGTCTGAGAGGAAAACATGAAAGAAAATTATTCCTGTTCTAACATATAGAAGACTATACATTCTTTTTTAATTTCCCTTCAATTAAACCTGACTTTAAAAATCATTTTGCACGGCTGTAATGGCAAGAAGGGAAAACTCTTCAGTAAGTAATAACCAAGAACATACAATCTGGAAAGGTACACAGACCTATTCAAACAGCACAGTGTCTATTTTAAAACAAACTGCTTTCAGTTTGGGTGCAAGTATTTCAAATCCCACCTGAAACAAATGCACTGGAGAAA